TTATCTCGGATCTCACAAAATTTGTAGTTTTTTTAAAAGATTACACACACACACACACACACATATGACTTAGGATCACGTGAGACCAACATGTTTTTATGAGACGCATGAGACCAATTTTTACTATTTGATACTTCACAAGAAAACATTGTGAAGGGCATGAGACCAATTTTTACTATTTGATACTTCACAAGAAAACACTGTGAAGGTAACCTTCACAATGTTTTTGATGTGAAGGTTCGGCTTTTTTTACCTTCACAACGTTTTACTGTAAAGTTTCAAGTGTAAAAAAAATGGTCTAAGGGTCTCACAAAAACAGACTGGTCTCACGTGAACCCAACCCATATAAGTATGTATATATATATGTATGTATGTATGTATGTATGTATGTATGTATGTATGTATGTATGTATGTATGTATGTATGTATGTATGTATGTATGTATGTATNATATGTATGTATGTATGTATGTATGTATGTATGTATGTATGTATGTATGTATGTATGTATGTATGTATGTATGTATGTATGTATGTATGTATGTATAGACAGATGTTCATTTATGAAGTGATAAGTATTTAAAAAGTAAAAATTTATCTTAACCCTTTATACAGTCAAGATTGGTCAAGTATTTGGCGCTTAAGGCTTTGACTAGTCAAGCGAAAAATAGAGGGGTACTTTTTTAAGTTTTACAAATATATGGCAAACAAGTGCATATGTGAACTCATATCATAGTTCATATGTGAATTGGTTAATTAGTTTATATGTAAATCAGTTAATTAGTTCATATGTAAATCAGTCAAATAATTTATATGTAAATCACACGGGTTCACATATGAACATATAGTTCATATGTGAATCACACGAGTTCACATATGCATTTGTTTTGTCACCAATTTGTAAAAGTTGCGAAATACCCTTCTATCTTCCGCATACTATGCAATGAATTATCCAGTGTTTCACAATAAAAACATCAAATTTTGATCAGATAAAGGACTATGATCACTTTTCTACTTCTCAAATATTTACCATTTCTCAAATCAACCTATAACTATATACATAGTAAATGTTTATGTCAACCTTCCAACTCCATCATTATCCACTAGCAAGATTTTCGTAAGTGCAATTTATTTTAATGAAAGCTATATCCGTTAAATTTTGAGAGATGTTCCTTCATTTTCTAGATATTAGAATATACAAGTAACATTAATCAAAAGTCTGAAAAAGTTACAGAGCACTCTAACATAACATTGTAGAAATAGAAGCCTAAACAAAGCTAACATCTTACAGGTCCACTGATTGTTCCGGTTCTCAAACCATTGATGGTATGGTGTGGGAAGTGTTCGGTAAGTGTCTAGCAGTGACGGGTCTAGAAACTTTTATAGTTGGGGGCATACTTAGGGGTGTGTGAAAAAAATTCAAAACCAAAAAATTCATCCGGATGAAAATGGTTTTGGGTTTTCCTTTTTGGCTTAAATTGTTCAGTTAACCGAATAAAGATAACGTATTCAGGTTGATTTTTAGTCGACTTTTTACTAATTTAACCTTTTACTAATTTGGTTAAACCGACACATTATACTACTATTATATATATTTTTCTGTAGAGTTTAAACTTAAAGCAAATGAATAAATTACACATTAAAACAAAATTCGACTCGCTCAGTTAACATGTTGGCACTTGGTGGTCGATTTCGAGCTCCTGAGCAATGAACCAATGCCTAGTGGTGAGTGGTCGTTTGTTTGGACTTTGGAGTCAAAGATGAGAGCGTTGTTGTCGTTGTGTCTGTGTGTATAGTGTAACGAGGAGAGTCGAGTAGTAGGTTTTTTGAGCTCGGCTCGAAAAAGTTATACTAGGCTCGAGCTTGACCTAAGTTCGGACCATTTTTCAATGTAGGGCTCAAGCTCAAACTCAAATATTTTCTTTATTTACCAAGCTCGAGCTCGATGTTTGTTTACGGGCTTGTACTCGCGATTGATTAACTCGTTTATTGACTCGAGGTGTATAATTTTTATATTTTATATTTTGAACGAAAATATCAGTGTGTGTTGCAAATAGATCAATTAACAATCAGGATATCAAGTTGGGGGCCCTTGCCTTGTTCTTGTTGGGTGCATAATAGGAAAATTTACTAAACAAATCTTTTTATAGTTTTTTTTTAAATCGGTGGGTTTGTTGGGGGGCTAGAACCCCTACCACCATGCACTAGATCCGCCCCTTGGTGTCTAGTACCTATAAAAAATAATAATTTTGACTTAACCACAAAGGTGGTGTTTGATTGGTTTGAGCTTGACCTCCGAAAGTCAAGAGTACCTGGAGGTCTCATATTTAAATCCAAGTAGGAATAAAAATCTCCTTATGACCACGGAGGTTCAAATGTGGTGACTCCGGGCTACCTGCAAAGCAAGTGGTTGCATTGATATTAGTCGGCTCACATAACGGGTTGAATATCCAGATTAATAAAAAAAAAATTGACTTGTGAGTCAAGAACTTTTATTGGTTGATCTATATACAGAGAACTTAGTAACTAATACACCGTCATTCATGAGGATGTTACTTCTAGCTACTTAATTTAAGAACAGATGGTCCCAAGCATGTTTGAAAATTTCACATGCATCTACAGAAATTTCTATTAACAAAAAAATACTACAATAAAATTGTGTTTATTGGACGTCATCAATTTCTAAACGTCCTAATAAAACGCTTTATAAGACTTGATTTTTATGACCAAAAAATAAAGTGTCGCATTGTAATAAGTTTACAGGACGTTTTTGGGTGTTCTAACATTTTTATATTAGCAATTTTACAGGGCACTTTTGAGAAAATGTCCTATAAAATCATTTTTTTGCAGGACACTAGTTTTTATTGAGATTTTTAAGTATATATAATCTTAAATGAGATTTTTATTAAATCCATGACATTCTCATAAGTACAAATCCATTTTTTCTTATATAATTAGTAGATCTTGAATTTAATTAAAAACTCATTGAAGATCATTTACCTAAATGACTCTGTTTTTATATGACACTTTTCAAATAATGTCCTATAAAATGGCCAATTGGACGCTTTATATTAAATGTGTCCTAAAAAACTTGTTAAGACACCCAAAAACGTCTTATAAACTTATTACAACGTTTTTAGATAGGATGCTTATTTTTTTGGTCCTATAAAATGGTCTATTATGATGCTTAAATTTTTTTTAACGTCCTATAAACCCGATTTTATTGTAGTGAAACAAGATCATCATGCTTTATTAGAATCTCTATAATGAAATTGATCTATATAAGATACTCGACGATAGTTCTCAAGTGGCCGAAGTTGCTCCTTGTGAGCGTAAATGAATCTTCCTCTCGAGCCGGTTTAACCGAACCTTGAAGCGATTGACAAGTTAGATCTCATAACAAAGAATAGTCCAAAGAATTAGCCTTTGCCTCCAAATGGTAGAGTTGCCACTAACTTATGCTTATTATATGTCATATGGGAGCAATTCTCTCTTTGCTTTTACAGTTCTATTTCGTTTCCATTTGACTTCTGCTAATGTTGCATAAAAACATCATAGACTTGTGCTAATATTGCATAAAAACGTTTTGTTGATTGTTATTGTAAGTACACTCAAGACTATCATCAAGACTCATGGTGTTAGATCTCTTTCTTATTTACAGTAGCATTGTTTCCAAATGAGATCAAATTTGGATCTTGGTGAAGAACTTTATGCTTGGATGTTGATTCTTTCATGTTTGTTAATTAGTGATCGACGAGAATGTACGTGTAAGGTGGACAGATGAAGTCATCAAATGTTTTTCAGAAGACGTAGATAAAGTGGGTCAAATGGGGGTAGTCTTTATGAATACTCGAGGATTTATGGCACCGTACCGTAATGTTAGATATTGGTGCGAGATTTCTGTCGTAGACGCAATGAGCAAGTATTGAAAGTTTAATCATTCTCATGCAAAACTTAGAAATGTCATTGAATGTGCTTATGACGTCCTGAAAACATGTTTTCCAATATTGAAAAGATTGGCACTGTTTTCACTTGAGGTTCAAAAAAGACCTTGTTATTGCATGTTTTGCATTTCATAACTTCATAAGGAAGGAGGGAAGGTTTAAACGATGAGTTATATTCTGAATATGATCAAAGCAATGAGCAAAGGGAAGATGGATATGATGAGGCTGAAGAGGTTCAATCCAATGGGAGTATCGCTAAACAAATATATATGGCTACTTTATAAATAAGAAATTGTGACATTATTAATGCAAAATGAAGATTGATTGTTGTTTGTCATGAGACTTTATTCATATTTTGTATTATGTTTGTGTTAACGAACATAAAATTGTGACACTAAAATTAATGTATTTTAGTTGAAATTAGAAATGTGTTAACAATGAACAGTTATATATTTTAGTTGAAATGAATTGACGATTTCATAAATTCAACAGTATAACATTTTGAGGGATAAAATAGACAATTACGCATATTCAAACGTTTGTCAATTAACAAAAACAAACAGTCTTTTTGGTTTAGATTTCAACACCATCTCTTATCAGCTAGAAGTGAAATAAGATTTCAGACTTCGACACCTCTTAAAAACAAACAAACACTTTAGAAAATTTTCTGAACTTAGCTTCTTCTTTTTGTCTTGTTTTCTCTGTTTCAGAGAACAATTTAGAGAAATTTGTTGGGGAAAAATAGTAAATTTTATCTGTTTTAAAGAATCTGGCAGAGATGTTCTACTTGAGTCTAAATCAATAATAAAACTTACACACAAAAAAAAGTAACAATCATGTATTGTGTAAATCCATATTCTTAATTAATAACTTTTGAATGGGGGGCGGTACAAAGCGGATCATACATTTGGGAATTCCATCTAAACTTACCAAATTGAAGTATGTAACAATTAAGAAAAATGATGAGAATTATATTTGAAGCAAAAATAATTAATGTTTGTAATTAAAATGAGATGATAAATATATATATATATATATATATATATATATATATATCTCATTTTGGAAGACTAGAAACGGGCTGAAGACCATGTTTTAGAGCAGCTTTCCAAACGACGTCGATTCGGTCCACATCAAGAGCACCAACTTCATGGTGACTCCATCCTTCCAAGCTATGTACAACCCCTCCTGCATGGCATGCATGCACTATCCCTCTTCCCATCGTATACTACATGCATGCATTAGTTTCAGCATTAAAATTTTAATTACTTCATTCATAGAATAAATTTTACGAGAATGAAAAATGGAGGACCGATATGATCGATCATGTACCTCGCAAGATCCAAGGCCTTCAACGTCATCGGGTAATTTCATGGCGGCAAGGTCACCGTAAGTGCAGTCTCTTCTGAACGCGAAGATTGGTGGCACCACGAACTGATGAAAATGAGTTCCCGATGGCGCCCATCTTTGTTGTCCAGGAGTTATCCATTTCCCGACCACCCATGTCTGTGATCATCAAGAATTAAAATCTTTGAAACAAAAAAAATACTCACTACATATATGTAAGAATATGTGGAAACTTTCTAAATTAATCTCCAAAAGTGCCCGAAAGGAGGTTCCAAGATTTATAGATGAGAAATGGTCTAAGTCAAGTTGATACGGGACTCTAACATGCCCTTCTCCAATTAATAGAGGCTCGACGGGTATAGATTGTCCAACGGTATTGAAAGAGGGCTAGACATCGTACAGATTGCTCTAGACAGAGTGTCAACCTTTTAGGATGATAGACTTGACTCTGATACCATGTGAGAATATGTAATTTTTTGTTAGATTACTCTTCAAAAAAACATTTATGCAGAGAAGAGAAGGTTCTAACATATATATAAAGGCAAGAAAATGTCTAAATCTAGTTGATACAGTAACGTAGTGCAACACAATAAATAGTAAAGTAGATTAATTTGACAATATACATACACAAATAAATCTATATATATATATATATATATACCTTGCAATTTCTTGCTGCTTGGTATTTAGTGACTTGGACCAAGTTCTTCTGGCAATCTGCTGGTGCTTCTTCTTGGATATTTTGAAATCTTTCTGTTGATAGAGTTAGCATCTGCAAAAAACGGCACCTAAGTTTTGAGAGTCTTTGTCATATTCATCCGGTAAAGTAAAGTGACTTGGTAAGCGCTTACCCGGGTAAGCGTTTGATAAACGACACCTAAGTTTTGAGAGTAAGTACTTGTCATATTCATTCGGTAAAGTAAAGCGACTTGGTAAGCGCTTACCCAGGTAAGCGTTTGGTAAACGGCACCTAACTAAGTTCTGATAGCACATTCTATGGAAACTAATTTATTAGAGTGATTATGACGTAAACTGCATATAATGTTCAACGTTGCTTTCGTATATTGCCGACATGTATACCGTAGCCTTTAATATTTAATTAAAGAAAAAGTAATGTTGGTTTAAGTCAATTTATTTGAATAAGTAGTTGGGGATTTTTAATTCATCTTGCTGTGACATTTTAGGTAACCATTAAGAGCTGGTGTACCAAATTTTGGCACATTTATAAGACAACATTATTCATGAATCTTGCTCCATTACAAATATTCAATCAAAAGAGTAACATTTGTTACAAAATGTTATATTTTTAAGATATATATTAATGACATCCAGAACCCTGATGGTAAAGATTTACATTTTTTATTATTACTTTAATTATATATGAAATTAAAATATTACGGAGTGAGCAAGACTTACAAGAACACGAACTCCTCTGCGACAAAGGTAGAGGGCAATGGCTCGTCCGAGCTTTGAAGTGGCTCCAGTGAGGAACACCTCTTTCACATTGTCATGAATCTCGTTGAGGATGACGGCGGCCGTCAAGGTATTCCCATGGACTACTCTTACTTTCAAATTTGGGTGTTTTTTCACAAATAATGTTCCACCTCCGTTAAGTGCTTCGTTCTACAGTTCCCATATTAAAATCGATCAAAATTCAGTTAAAGTTATATTTCAACTAAAAGTGCGTATAGAAAAAAGATTCCTCATGTAAAACCCCTCAAATTGAACCTATAAAAGGGCAATTTAAGGACTTTCAAAAAGATTTGTTAGATCCATGTCTCATATCAGTTGCATTTTGTGATCAATTATACATCGGTAAGCAATCCAAAGGCATATGATTTAATGAACACCAATAAGATTGAGATGGTAAAAGTAACCCTTACACTCTACTATTTTCATGATTCGTCCCTAGTGATCATAAGTGTAATTACTATAATACCCTTATGATATCATATTATTTGAGAGAGGGATAAAAGATATACCTTGTTTAAAGCAGCAAGGCTAATGACCTTCACACCCAATTTATCGGCCCTCAGAATGGCATCCTCAATATGTTTGTTGATGCCGTTACATGCAAATGGCAAGAAATACTATAGGAGCAAATGAACGGATTACACGAATGGAACATGTTAGTTAACAAAGCATCATGTTCTTTACACCTACAAGTCCCAATATGAAGGAAATGAAACAAACCTGAAAGCCAAAACGAGGAACAACCCAAGTTTGGTGCAATCTGCCTCTTAATTTGTAGAATGACAAGAGGAATGTCTTAGCCCTAGCCCACATCACCAACATCACAACAAACGTAAATGGCCAATATGGAACCAAGAAAAGCCGAACACTGTAGGGCATTGACGAAAATGATCTGAAGACAAAGGGGACGTGCAGTGCAGATGTAATATCCACAACGTGTGCCAAGAACACAAAATCGGGCACTGTCGTAGACTTGCCTACATTTGTATATGATAAAACAACATGTAACGTAACTGGTCAACGTCAAACATAAAGTAAATGGACGGTTACATGCTTATTTTGAAAGTAGAAGGGGGTTATTTATCAAATCGAAATATTAGATGGACAAGATTTAACAAAGTATAAAAATATATACTTTCAACTAGTATTCAAACATTTAATGCCACCCCTCTAATTTTATAAAATCTAAAATAACCCATTGGTTGTAAAATTATAGATTACAACTCCACACCTACCTCTATTTATTGGAATTCCAGTGTTTATATTTACACATTTCAACCACTCATGCTTACAAATTGCCCCCCACTTATGAATTATTAAAAGACAAATTACAAATAACTATCTAAAATAAGCTAGTTGAAAGTGAACAACAGATACATGATAAATTATCTGGTTCAGTTACTTATAGAAACTGTTTAATATTTTAACGAAAAAACCGCTAATGCCGTGTTTGTTAACAACTGAAAAGCAACTTCAGATATCTTTTTAGGGTTTTTTTTTTCCAATTATGTCGGTTATATTTTTATTTAAGAATTAAGATCATTTTATTTTATCAACTAATAACTGACATATAAATCAATAACTAACTAATAATTTATCAGTTAGCATCTAAGATTCTAAGTTATCAAGAAACACGTTCTTTTGTTAACTACTTAATTAGTACAAACTCCTAACTGGTCTTTTGTTAACTATGAGAGCCGACTAATCCCAGGGCGATCACCTGCTTTGCAGATAGCCCGGAGTCCCCGCATTTGAACCTCCGTGGCCACAAAGGGATTTTTATTCCTCCTTGGATTTGAACATGAGACCTCTTGATATTTTTAACATTTAGAGTTAAGCTCAAACCAATTAGGCACCACCCTTGTGGTTTTTTGAAACAAAATCTTAATAAGCTTAAATAAAAATCATTGTTTCAGCTATGTATTTTAACCAAAAACTGTTATTTTACTTATGAACTTTGTTTAAACTTTCTTAATTATCTCATACTTTCATTCACTTTTTGGCTTCACTAATTAACTGATTAACGAACTTAATCAACCAATAATCGATTTAGCAATAAAATGAAAGAAGGTCATACCTGCCTCCTGGGTTATTTTCTTGTGTAGGTCCCAAGAGTTTGGGTTCAGAGTGTTCCACATGGCATCGTAGAGGGGCATAAATAGGCAATAGTTGCTCTTCATCTCACTGTGGTGTAGGCTATAGTATCTGTATAATCATTATTTAATTAGTATTTTTCTTTATATACTAAAGAAAATTATAATGACTAAAATACCCTCACAGGGAGTTTGTAAATGTTTATAGACAAAGGAAATGAAGTGGCAAAGATGGCATACATTTTATATTTTATTAAAAGATATTTAGTAACATATTTAATTTAACATGTATACAGAAAGTTTGCTTTAAGCTATAGTTTCGATCAATTTACTTGATATTATTTCTTTATTGAAGGGGCATTTTTGTAATTTAATACCAAATTTGACGTATATATGAACTGACCACACAAGTTGATTTAGTTTTTAGACGTTAAATTCTTTAGTTGATATGAATCCATTAATCTATCTTTATCGCACATGAACAGATGGTTTATTTATGATATATATAAGTTTTCGTGGAGAATTAAACAACATAAATAAAAATGCATGAATTATTAATAATTACATAAATGGACATGTTGCTTTTCATGAGCGGATCACATGTTCTATTTGGTGAAATACAATTATTTTTATTTTATTAAAGTTTATTAATTTATCGATATGACATATATAATATAATTCAGATAACTTACGTTGGTGTGTAGAGAAGATATCTGAACAGAGGAAAGGATTCGAAAATCCAATGAGGCACGATCTCGACGTTCGAATAACCGAAGCAGCGTAAGAAATCAAAAACAATGACGTAGCCATAGATTACTGTTTTAGATCCATATCCAGACAAACAACAACCAAGAATGGGTAGGCCAATCACTATGACAACTAATAACTCCTCCAAGAATGTGGTGCTTCCGGCTACAATTAAGATATTAATGTTAGTAAAAACATACGATAGCTGTATGATATCGACATCAAATCATTCTATTACACTTACAACTCGTTATATTTATTAAATAAACCGAAACTATATACAGGGTCACATTCTTTTCAGATGGTCGCTTCATCTCGTTATATATCCTTGTCGTCTTGTGAGATGTTCTCCAAACTGTCAAATAAGAATGTTGGTTTCGACATTTGGAGAAATACGATAGGTAGGTACATTTTTTTGAACAGTTAATGATCTTTATCTTAACATCGACATCTGACACGCATTAGGTTATTATTAGAACAGCAAACTATGAGGTCGTGGACCAACCTTAGCAACAGACATAATAATTTAAAGTCGTTGAACCTTATCACATTATAAATGCCCAAAAAAAGTTGTGAACTAGCTATCAACAATCATTAAATAACTTAACGCTTTTTCAAATAATATCATGTATTTCAGCCCTAAGTAAATGCTTAATTACATGGGTCTGCATTTGCTTATCAAGAACATTAAATTGATGAATTATAGGATAGCAATATAGCATAGGAACCTGTCATGGATGTGACAACACTAATTGATCAATAAATGGAGGAAGATGGGGGTTATGAATGCCATTTACCTGTAACTGGTTGGGGCACAGTTGAAGAATGGTGGAAATGATGGAAAGGGTAGAAAAGGTAATTTCCATGCAAGAGTCTATGTACCCAATAGTAAATTGGCTCTGAAACAATCACATGTACCACCAACAAAGTAACAAGCCCTTTGGTTTCCCACAGTGGCAAGTTTGCAAATCCATCAGGTAACAAGTACATAGCTACAGAAGCTACTAGAGCTTGAAAAATTACAAAATTGTCCCTGCAATAAAAATTTCATCAAATTAAATACAACCCAACAAATGAATAGATTAATACATCTTTGATGAGATTTGAACGTATAACCTCTTGGGAGACTAGAGGTTCGGATATCGCTAGGCCGATGGGCTTTTGATTTTATAGGGATTTTTGAAGTTTTAAAGTCTTGGGCTTGGTAGCATTGTGTTGTATCGATACTACCGAGCTGTTGATTTGATGGGTGATTCGAGAACTTACCAGTTTCGTTCTTTGTCGATTTGGTCAAAGTCAACGCCTTGTGTAAAAATCCGACGATTGCGGGTGAGGAAAAGCATGTTACAGACGTTGGTATACCACATGAATAGATGAAATCTAAGGAAGCTCATCAAGAGAATATGAAAACACCAATTGCTTGCCAGATCATCGTGCCCTTGAAGTCTTGAATGTACAACTTTTCCGACCAACGGTCCGAGTAGCATATACTGCAATTCCAACAAACCCCACAAAAAGATTTAAAGATAAAACAAACCAGATGAGTGTTTTGCCATTTGTGTTTGTGTTATGTGCATATCAGAAGAATTTACCTTGAGAGTTCCAAGATTTTGCCAATGCCATGCAAATAATGGAGCAGTGTTCGTCATTATCATCAATACAATCTAGGCAAAAGACAATTGTAGCCCTAAACAGAAGATATAAGAAATGTATATATCTTCGTGTAAAGGACAAATCGATCTTTGGCTACAACTTGGAGCTTTTTCTTGTAATGGCCAAAGGGGTGTATTCTTATGCTATAAGCACAATATGAAATAGGACCACCAAAAAGGAGGGAGAGAGAGAGAGAGAGACCACAACACAAATGGGTATTTAGGGTTTATCTATGACCAAAATGAAGTAAAAAAATGGAGACTATATAGGCACAAAATATATGCAATATGGACCTACATCAAAATGTGAAATGGCTAATGGCTAATGGCTGTTTCAAAATACAGTTAGGAAGGTGGAAAAGGGGGATTTCATTGAATTTTCCATGCAAAATTACGTTTTTGCCCTTGGCCATTCTGTCACGTATATACCTTATAAAATAGATATTTGTCTACCAGATACTTATTTTGTCGTTATCAAAAAAATATAACATAAACAAGTGGCCTTGAAAATTAATAGAAGTGATTTAGGGTTATAATTTGGTTTTATTTAGCTTTGAAGATGCTCAACATATCAAGTGCTAAAGTTCTAAAAGTTTGAATTGGGTCTTTTAAAGCTAAGTTTCAAATGGGACCTAATTAGGTCAGGTGGATATAAATCTTAATCAAACCTTAATTGTTATTTATTTGTAACCGTTATTTCCAACCTAACGTTAATAACATAAAAAATAGACGTGTTTTAGTATTCAACTTAACATTAAAACATTTAAAAATATATAGAGGTCTTCAAAGGTGGCCTATTTATTTGGAGATTAATAAATGTGACATATGTAATTGATATATATATATATATATATATATATATATATATAGTTTGATTAATAGTTTAATATATCAAGTTATATTAAGTTTTAATATTAAAGATGTTTTTAGTGTGTCATTAGAGTGGATTTTTTTTTTTGTTTAGTCAACCCATCATTTTTAATGTTTTATTTTAATGGTAGGATTGAAGATAGTCTTAGGGGTTGTTTACCAAACGTTTATCCGGGTAAGTGCTTACCAAGTCACATTATCTTACTGTAAGAATATGGCAAGGACCAAGAATCTTACCTGGTAAGAGCGAACCAAGGACCGAAATGCTTATCCGGTAAGTGAGGATGATGACTCTTACCACGATTAATGCTTACCAGGTAAATTGTTGTATTTAATGCCTTTTTGGTTGACTAAAATCTTACTGGGTAAGAAAGTGATAGTGTTAAATTTTACCGTTAAGCGCTTATCGGATAAATGTTTTGTAAACGGCCCCTTAAAATATTTACTTTTAGTTTACTTAATTTTAAGGGTTGCTAAACACACCCTTTATAAAAATTCATACTCCCTTCTGTTTTCTACTTTCCCTCTCGCATAAATTTCAACATGTCAAACTAATCATTTTTAAACTTGAATTTAATTACCCTTATAATTATTTTTAATTTACTTTTTTATTTTTCATTTTACGTCATTATAATATTAGTATGCACAAACATATATTAATTTAAATACTTCAAAAAATACGTTTATTTTTTTAATAAATTACACTATTTAATCTAAAGTCAATATCTTCCTAAATACCTTTCTTTATTGAATGTTTTTAAATTTAATCATATTATTATATAAAATAAATATTACAAAATTATTTTTTATACAATTATAGTTATTTATTTAATTTATTTTATATTATTGGAAAAAGTCTAAAAAAACCCAATGGACTTTAGTGTTTGGAATGATTAAGTCCTTGAACAATTTTTTGGAACAAGTAAGTCATTGGACATTCCAAAACATGTTAAATAACTTCTTGGACAATTTTTTGGAACAAATAAGTCCTTGGACAATTTAAAACATGTTAAATAACTCATTGGACAATTTTTGGAACAAATATTTTGGATTGTCCAATGACTTATTTGTTCCAAAAATTATCCAATGAGTTATTTAACATGTTTTAAATTATCCAAGGATTTATTTGTTCCAAAAAATTGTCCAAGAAGTTATTTAACATGTTTTGGAATATTTAAGGACTTATTTGTTCCAAAAAATTGTCCAATGACTTAATCATTTCAAACACTAAAGTCCATTGAGTTTTTTTAGACTTTTCCCTCTATTATTTATCTTTTTATTTTTTGTTTTACAAACCTTATTTTATTAACATAAATAATCTCTACATATATAATACATCATAAAAATATATTCTTTTTTATAAATTTAATCTTTATAATCGTCTCGATAATACCTTTAAAATAAGCCAAATAAAAAAAATTAAATTTAATCATATTATTAAATATCGCAAATATATAAAAGGAATACGAATTATTTGTAATACTTGCACTTTATTCCTTTTTAGTTATTGTTCAATTTGTTTTATGTTCCTTACTTTTTCATTTTTCGTTTTACACTCATATCCTATTAACATACATAATCATGCATTTAAGATGTTTTCCATTTTGATCTTTTTTTTTATTAACCCGGATATCCAACTCACTATGCGAGCCGACTAATCTTAGGGCGACCACATACTTTGCGGGTAGCCCAGAGTCACCGTATTTGAATCTCCGTCGCCATAAGAGGATTATTATTTCTCTTTGGATTTGAACCTGGGATCTCCAGCCACTTTTGACGTTTGGAGCCTAACCTCAAACCAGTCAGGCACCACCCTTTGTGGTTTCCATTTTGATATTTAGAGTCATGAGGCCAACAAACATCAATTGATTTGATATTACCATTCATTTCATCGTCTTCATACCAGTCAACCAAGAAACACAATTGATTCCGACCCGATATAATATCTTGAATTTCTTCCAGACTCATCTTATTTGATATCGACTCCTCCGAGCTTGGCTTTTCCATGCATCATATCACAAACCAATAAGCAGTGGATTGTCGATCCTATTATTAACTTATTTAGATTTGCTTTCTTTCTACAACCAAACAATCTTCAAAAAAGTCTATCCCTCGAATAATCAACGACAATGACTAAGTTTGGCTAGAGATAGAGGCGATAACGTGGGTTCGGGGAGACGTTTAATGATTGCTTCGACAACAACTGGGAGAGAAGACACTTGTTGGAGATGGGACGATCTAGGCATATGAAAGGAGAATGGAATAAGACGATTAGGTATATATATATATATATTGTTTTTTTAAATTCTAATTTGTAACTACTATATAGGTTACTAATCATCATTCTAGGTTATGAGAACCTATTTATGAGGTTTCATAATATCCTATTATTTTATTTCTTTTAAAAATTTGATCAATGATTTAATCACTCAAAATATGAAAGTCATTTGGTTTTTCCCAAATAATAATCATAAAGGTTATCTTTTTACTTTGTTTCAACCTTCAAAGTATAATTAAATTAATACAGTCTTAATAAATTAAATAATTATTATAAATATTATTTTTAATTTGTTTTAACCTTAGAATATAATTACATTAATGTAATTTTAGGGGTTGTTTGGCAATTGCTGAATGGTTTGGTGCAGAATGATTAAGTGGTCAGAATTATTAAGAGACTCTTATGATATAGTGCAAAATGAAATATAATTGTTTGGTAATTATGTACAATGAAATTAGGACTCTTAATGGTTAAGGGAGATCCATGATACAAAATCATTCAGAGGGTTTT